AAACTTGAACAGGCCAATAAAAACTAAGAAAATTGAAGATGTAATCAAGAATCACCCAGCAAACAAAATCCCAGACCCAGATGGCTTCACAGAAACATTTTACCGAATATTTAAAGAAGAACTAACACCCATTCTCCTCAAACTATTTCAAAAAATTCAAAAAGAAGGAAGACTTCCAAACTTGTTTTATGAGACTAGCATAATTTGAATTCCAAAACGAGAAAAAGAGACTACAAAAAAAAAAACTGCAGGCCAATATCCCTGATAAACATAGATGCCAAACACCTTAACAAAATATCAGCAAATCGGATCTAGCAATACATCAAAAAAATTATTCACTATGACCATGTGGGATTCATCCCAGGAATGCAAGGCTAGTGCAATATTCACAAATTAATAAATGTGATACATCACATAAACAAAATGAAAGGTAAAAACCATAGGATCATATCAATAGATGCTGAAAAAGCATTTGACAAAATCCAGCACCCATTTCTGATAAAAATGCTCAACATTGTGGGAATAGAGGGATCATATCTCAATATAATAAAGGCCACATATAGAAAATCTACAGCCAACATCAAACTCAATGGACAAAAACTAAAAGCATTTTCCTTAAGAAAAGGAACAAGTCAGGGATACCCACTTTCACCACTCTTATTTAACATAGTACTGGAAGTCTTAGCCACAGCAATTTGACATGAAGAAAAAATAAAAGGGATCCAAATTGGAAAGGAGGAAGTGAAACTGTCATTATTCATAGATAACATGATATTGTACAAAGAAAACCCTAAAGACTCCATAAAAAATCTACTAGATTTAATAAATGAATTCAGCAAAGTATCAGAATACAAAACTAGCATGAAGAAATCAACGGCATTCTTATACACCAATAATGATCTCATAGAAAAAGAAACTAAAAACAATCCAATTTACCATTGTGTCAAAAAAATTAAGATACTTAGGAATAAACTTAACCAAATAAGTAAAGGACCTATTCGCAGAAAACTACAAGATCTTAAAAAAATAGAGGAAGAAATAAAAACAAGTGGAAGCATATACCTTGTTCATGGATTTGAAGAATTAACATCTTTAAAATGTCCTTACTACCCAAAGTAATCTGTAGATTCAATGGAATCCTCATCAAAATACCAACGGCATATTTCACAGAACTAGAACAAATACTTCAAAAGTTTATATGGAATCAAAAAAGACCCCAAATAGCGACAGCAATCTTGAAAAAGAAGAACAAAGTTGGAGGGATCACAATACCGGATATCAGGTTATACTACAAAGCCACTGCAATGAAAAGAGCCTGGTACTGGCACAGGAACAGGCATTGAGATCAATGGAACAGAACAGAGAACCCAGAAATGAACCCAAGACATTATGCTCAATGAACATTTGATAACAGTGGCAAGAGCTTACGGTGGAGTAAAGACATCCTCTTTAATAAATGGTGTCGGAAGTTCAATTTTTAATTTTTTGAGGTAACACCATATTGTTTTCCACAGCGGCTGTACCAGTCTGCATTCCCACCAGCAGTGTATTAGAGTCCCTTTTTCTCCACACCCTCGCCAACATTTGACAAAGTGATCCCAGTGCTAGGAATATACCCTAAGAAGCCTGAAACACCAATCAGGAAGAATATATGTACCCCCATGTTCATAGCAGCACTATTTACAATAGCTAAGATCTGGAAACAGCCCAAGTGTCCATCAGTAGACGAATGGATAAAAAAGCTGTGGTACATATACACAATGGAGTACTATGCAGCGGTAAGAAAGAAAGATCTCTTATCCTTTGAGACGACATGGAGGGACCTGGAAAATATTATCCTAAGTGAAAGAAGCCAAGCAGAAAAAGACAAATACCACATGATCTCACTTATATACGGAATATAATGAACATAACAGTCTGAGGAATACAGTAGACCCAGAAACATGGAAGTAGGGCACAGACTGACATCCCTCAGAAGACGGGGTGGGGGGGGTGGGAAGAGATAAACCACAGAACTTATATGCATGTATGCATGACCAATGGACATGGACAACTAAGTCGGGGACGGGGCGGGGATAGGGTGGGGAGGGGGGTGCCAATGGGGTAAAAAATGTAAAATATCTGTAACAAAAAAATAATTAATTAAAAAAAAAAAACTTTAAAAAATAAATAAATAAATAAATGGTGTCGGGAAAACTGAACAGCTACATGCAAAAAAATAAAATAAAACTAGACGACGAACTTACAACATACATAAGAATAAATTCAAAATGAATAAAATATTTAAATGGGACTCATGAATCCACAAAAGTCCTAGAAGGAAATGTAGGAACAAAATTTCAGACATCACATGCAGCAGAACTTTCACTGATACAACTCCTAAGGCAGGAGAAACCAAGGAAAAAATTAATACATGAGACTACATCAAACTCAAAAGCTTCTGCACAGCAAAAGATACAATCACAAAATGGAAAGGGAACTCACTGTATGGGAGAGCATAATTGCCAACAATATATCAGATAAGGGGCTAATTTCCAAAATATATAGAGTGCTCATACAACTCAACAAAAGGAAGACAAAGAACCCAATTAAAAAATGGACAGAGGACCTAAATAGACACCTCTCCAAACAGGACCTACAAATGGCCAAGAGACATATGAAAAAAATGCTCAACATCACTAATCATCAGAGAGATGCAAATTAAAACAACTATGAGATATCACCTCACTCCTGCCAGAATGGCTGCCATCAATTAATAATCAAACAACAAGTGTTGGCAAGGGTGTGGAGAAAAAGGGGACTCTAGTACACTGCTGATGAGAATGCAGCCACTATGAAAAACAATATGGTGTTTTCTCAAAAAATTAAAAATTGAACTGCCATTTGATCCAGTGATCCAACTTCTAGGACTATATCCTAAGAAACCTGAAACACCAATCAGAAAGAATATATGTACTCCTATGTTCATAGCAGCACTATTTACAATAGCCAAGATCTGAACACAGCCCAAATGTCCATCAATAGATGTGTGGATAAAAAAGTTGTGGTACATATACACAACAAAACACTATGCCACTGTAAGAGAGATCTCTCATCCTTTGAGATAACATGGAGGGACCTGGAGAGTATTATGCTAAGTAAAAAAAAGCCAATCAGAGAAAAACAAATAGCACATGATCTCACTTCTTTGTGGAATATAATGACCAAAATAAGCAGGTGAATTAAATAGACGCAGAGACATAGAAAGGAGTACGGTTCTGACTGACAAACCTCAGCGGAACGCCCCAGGTGGAAGAGTGATTAGATAAACCAAAGAACTTATGTGCATGTATGCATAACCAATGAACACAGACAACAATTCTGGGGTGTGGGGATTGGGAGGAGGGTGTCTAGGGGGGAAAAAGAAGAAATATCTGTAACAAAAATAAATTAATAAAAAGTGCAAAAAAAAAACTAAAAACAAAACACCCCAAATGCAAATTAAAATCACCTCACACCTGTCAAGAATGGCTGTCATGAATAAATCCATTAATGACAAATGTTGGTGAGGATGTGGAGAAAAGTGAGCCCTTGTGCACTGTGGGAATGTTGACTGGCGTACCCACTATGCAAAACAATAGACGTTTCCTCAAATATTTAAAGTGTATCTGCCTTATGATCCTGCAATTCCACTTCTGGAGATTTGTGCAAAGAAACCCAAAACACTAGTTGGAAAGAATAAATGCACCTTTATGTTCTCTGCCGTGTTTTTTACATTAGTCAAAATATGGAAGCAACCCAAGTGGACATCAATAGATGAGTGGACAAAATAGTGGTGGTACCCATAATATGTAATAGAATATTACTTGGCCATAAAAAAGAATGAAATCTTACCATTTGTGACAACAGTGTAGATGGACCTAGAAGGTATTATGCTGAGTATAACAAGTCAGTCAGAGAAAGCCAAGTACCATATGATTTCACTTATATATGGAATGTAAAGAACAAAATAAATTAACAAAATGAACAACAGACTCATGGACACAGACAGCAAACTGTTTGCTGCCAGAAGGGAGGGGCATTGGGGGACTGGGTGAAAGAGGCGAAAGGACTAAGAAATTCAAATTGGTAGTTACAAAATAATCATGGGGATGTATGTAAATCATAGAGAATATAGTCTCTAATATTGTGATAACTATGTATGGCACCAGTTGAGGTACTGGAAATATTGAGGGGAACACTATGTAAAGTATATGATTGTCTAACCACTAAGCTGCACAACTAAAACCAATACAAAATAAAATTGGGAGGTAAAAAAGAATAAATGTATTTTAAAAATCTAAAAATATAGTTCAATGCTTTTTTTTTTTTAATAAAAAGACTATATAGTGTATGATTCCATTCACAGGAAATTCCCTTGAAAACCAAGACTTTAGAGACACAAAGCAGATTCATGGTTGCCTGAGTTGGGAATAGGAATGAGGATCAACTAGAGATGAGCATGAGGGTGTTTGGGTGTGATGGATATGCTCTAAATTGGATTATGGTGATGATTACACAAGTCTGTAAAGTTACTAATGATCATTGAATTGTATATTTAAAATGGGTGAGTTTCATAGTATGTAAATTGTACCTCAATAAAGCAGCTTAAAAAGTAGACTTTCTCAGGTAGCTAGACTAGTTCTGAATTTTTTAGATATTATTTTCAACATTCTAAGCCTAGATAACCAATATTATATTTAAGAGATGTTAGTGGAAATAAAACAATTAAATGTGTCCCCAAACCACTCAAGATGAACATACAGTCCTCAATAGTCAACGTCATGCACGTTCAGAAAGAAAAGGTCCAAGTTCAGTGCCATAAATTTTTCTGGCTGCCTTCCAAGGAGGGAGGCTGGAATGAGCTTTGCCCTGGGTGACACTCTTCCTTGTCACTGATTAACCAGCTTTGTAGGGAGGCTGGGCCACCAACAGTACCTTCCTGGCGATGATACCTGGCCAAGTGCTGGTGAGCAGAGAAAATGTCCACTCGCTACCACCAAGCTGCTAGTGATAGCTACCTGGAGCTTCTGAAAGAGGCCACCAGGAGAGATCTGAACCTTTCTGACGAGGATGGCATGACTCCCACACTCCTGGCTGCCTACCATGGGAACCTGGAAGCCCTGGAAATAATCTGCAGCAGAGGGTAAGTTCAACCTGAAGGTTTTGACTGGAATCTGTTAACAGCAGGATTTGGCAGACCAGCAACAAGAAGCAGGGAATTCAGTGACAATGCTTTGCCCTCTTTCTAGGCTATCTAAATAATTATCCTTTTAGCAAAAGGGAGAAACCTGCCCACAGATGCTCTCTTTGCCCAGTGGGAACTGGAAACCATGGGGCTGGCTCATCCTTTGTGAGCCACATAAAGGGGAGAAACCCTGAACTCTAAGGCATATTATCTGCCTCATGAGGAGGATATTTTAATTCTGTGCCTTAAAATACATTGTCCATAAAATTTAAATGGTTGCCCCTTTTAGAAAAGAGATTACTGTTCTACTTGTTTTAAGATGTCAACATTTATTGAAACAAGTTATGTTTTATTTTTTAATCTATGCCATTGAATAGCCCATAGCCTTTCTTAATACTTAATCCTAGTGCAAGTTCATGCTTCTTAGATGAAGTTGCTGACTACAAGCTATGTAAGAGACTCCGTCTGCCTTACTTGCGTTACTGCTCCAGCAGTCAGACACACACATGAACTGCCCCCACAGCCCCTCCCTGCAAATTCTAACTCAGGAGCTAGTGAGGGATTAGGCAGTGTTGGCAACCATAAACCAAGAGGGGTAAAGAAGGAACAAAAGTGTAAACAAAGGAGCCCAGAGAATTTATTTCAATTCAATACATATTTATTTATACATATCTGCTGTGAGCCCACCATTGGCTGGGGATGCTTTCTTCAACAAGAGAGACACAGTTACTGTCCTCATTTGTGACTAGACTTGAGAGGAAGACAGGAATTAAGCAAGTCATGTATGATATGTGTTACAAAGAGGGAAATACAGGACACAGAACATGACATAGGCATGTCTCCTAATCTAGGGTGAGGGAAGGCTTTTCTGGAGCACTTCTGCTGGCATTGGAAGGATGAGGCGTTGGCCGGATGAAGGTGGAGGAAGTGTTTCCCAGTGAGAGCACTGTGCAGTCTCAGAACTGAAGATGCTGAGTAAGGCTGGACATGCCTGGGTGGGAGAGGCCTGGTCGTAAGAGACAACCAGATGACAAGGGCCTTGTTGACTGAGAAGGGCGTGGACAGCTGTTGCTATGGGTCTATGCAGGGCAGCCACCTGGTAGATCTGTGTTTACAAAATTGACCCAGGCAGCTATGCAGCCATGAGAGAGGAAGTTTGGGATTCTTCTAATGGTGGAGATGAGAGAGGAGCAAGGGTAGAGCAGTGATCATGGGGACATGTGGATGGATTTGAGTGACAGTTTGGATGCAGAACTGATTATAATTGACTAGATGTTGGGGTAGGTGAATAAAGGCGCAGGCAGATCAAGGCCCCAGGTTCTGGCTTCAACATCTTGTGGGTATTGGCACCTTTTATCGAAGTGGAGGGGGTACTTTAGGACAACTTGGAAGAACCAAAGTGGTGGACAGAGTTTCTGAGTTGAGAGCTGAATGAGGAAGTCAGTGGAGTGGTGGTTTTCCATTCCTTTCCTGATTGGCTTCCTTTCCCCAGCTGGCACCCTGCCTCTACCGCCGCCAGTCACCCCTCTCCAGATTACAGCGCCGCTCTCTCCTCTTCTCCCAAGTTTTCTCCACCTACGTAAAATATTCCTCCTCTGCTCCAAATGCATGATATCACTTACTTCACCAAGCAAGGAAAGCCCTTGCTCCCTTGGGGGTTCAACTGAAATGGCAGCACCTGGATGTTCTCTCTTAATCTCTGACCCTCCCTCTCACCTCTCCCTCTCTCTCCCTCTCTCTCCCTCTCCCTCTCCATCTTTGTCTCTCTCCTTTGTATGCCTGAAACATTGTCTTACACTTATTGTTCTGCTGATCATTATTTACGACAAATATAACGTAAGCTGAACCCAGAAAATAAACCATATATATGCACACAAATTAGAAAGGAAAAATTTCATATAATGTCGTGCTGTTAACAGTTATTTAAACATAGTTTATATAAATATATATCTATATATACATGAATAGATATGGTATAAATATGTGTGTACTTATATACACATAAAATAATATCTAAGTTGCCCTGGCCAGTTTGGCTCAGCGGTTAGAGCGTCGGCCTGCGGTCCTGAGAGGCCTGGGTTCGGTTCCCGCTAAGGGCACGTACCTCGGTTGCAGTTTGTCCCCGGCCCTGGTTGGTCGTGCGGGTGGCAGCCACTCGATGTGTCCCTTTCACATCGATGTTTCTCTCTCTCTCTCTCTGTTCCTGTCTCTCCCTCCCACTCTACCAGAACAAAAAAGGAAAAATGTCCTCGGGTGAGGATTAAAAATAATAATAATAATAATAATATCTAAGTAGCCATTTTTAGTAGCATCTTTTAAAAAAAATTCCTCAATACATAATGAAAAATTTTTTGGCCCTGGCCGGTTTGGCTCAGCAGTTAGAGCGTCAGCCTGCGGTCCAGAGAGACCTGGGTTCGGTTCCCGCTAAGTGCATGTACCTCGGTTGCAGTTTGTCCCTGGCCCTGGTTGGGTTGTGTGGGTGGCAACCACTCAATGTGTCCCTTTCACGTCAATGTTTCTCTCTCTCTCCCCCTCCCACTCTACCTGAACAAAATATGGAAAAATGTCCTCAGGTGAGGATAAAAAAAAAAATTTTTCTGTCTGAATATATATTCTTTTATAATTTAATTTTCAGGGGCTTGTTATTTTAGTCAATAAATATATTTCTTAGCCAGTCTTTCTTTTTTGGATAAATAATTTGTTTCCCATTATTTAAACACTGCTGTAATGAATATTTTTGTACATAAATCTTTGCTCTCATTTTCTTGAGGATAAAGACTCCAAAGTGACATTTATAGATCAATGGGCATTTGCACAATTTAAATACCTTTTTTGTGTGTATTGACACATTATTCTTCAAAAAGTAAGAACCCATTTTTGCCAATATCATAAGTCCAAAATGATATATCACTGTAGCTTTAATGTTCTTTTCTTTGTTTAGTAATGAAGTTGAAAATTCTTTTTATGTTTAGTGGCCATTGTATTTCTATTTTTGTGAACTGTGTATTTATAACCTTGTTCCACTTTTTTATTGGGATCTTCAACATTTCTCATTGATTTATAAAAATGCTTTTTAAAGTTATAATACCAGTCTTTTGTCTTTATGTTCCAAATATTTTAATAATTTATATTTTTGACAACAGATATTTTAAATATAAATGAAAATATAAATATATTTAAGTATACATGTATATACTTAAGTCTTTCAGTTTTACAACAGAATTCTAACTTAAAGGTCATGCCTAAATACTGACTGATATTTTCTTTAGCAGTTTTTAAGTTTTATTTATTTTATTAAGTATTTATTTTAAATATTTAATTTATATATTATTTATTTTTATTTACAATTTGAGGTTTTTTTAAAAATTTTTTTCTTTATTGGTTTTAGAGAGAGAGGAAGGGAGAGGGAGAGAGAGATAGAAACATTGATGAGAGAGAACATTGATTGGCTGCCTCCTGCATGCCCCCCACTGGGGATTTGGCCCATAACCTGGGCATGTGCCCTGATGGGGAATCAAACTGGTGACCTCTTAGTGCATGGGTCAATCACTGAGCTATGCCAGCTGGGCTAAGGTTTGAGGTTTTGATCTCAAGTTACCTTCCCCAAGTGGTTAATCATTTATCCCAACACGATTTACTGTATAGTTCACCCTTTCCCCATTTATTTGATGTGGTAATGTTTCTCAATGTAATATCAAAATCCAGTCATTAAGTTATATTTATTAAACACTGACCATGGGCACAAAAATTCTTCTAACCCTGCTTCTAGTCCTTCCTTCTCAAGTCTTATCTTTTGATCAGTTCTAGTACATCTCAGCTTTTGTTTCTTTCTCCACAGAAGCATTTAAGTCTGGTTGTGTTAAGATGGCCTGGTATAGGTTGAAAAAAAAATTTTTTTTTTCGGGTTTTCATAAGTCACCTGCCATGTTGACCAGAGCCAATCTTCAGGAACCTGTGTAGGATCAAATTGCCAATTGGACTGAAGGGGGCTAAAAAGGAAACCAATTAAAAATGGAATGTAGAAGTTAATCAGTCATTGAGGTCTATTCCGGTCTGATGGTTTCAGTATTTATCTGTCACTACCCGATTGAGACTTTGGATCATGTGGTAACTAAACCCTGGCTTTGGTAAAAACTGTTTTTCTTTTTTTAATTTAGTGATGGAAAACAATAACTACATGTGTTACAGAAAAGTATACAACATTTCATTTTGTTTTTAAAGTGTTCATGAATTTCTGCCCGGCTGGTGTGGCTCAGTGGATTGGGCATCCTCCCATGGACTGAGAGGTCCCGGTTCTATTCCCATTTAGGGCACATGCCTGGGTTGTGGGCTGGATTCCCAGCAGGGGGCGTGCAGGAGGCAGCTGATTAATGTATCTGTCTCATGTCAATGTTTCTCTCTCTCCCTTCCTCTCTTTCTAAAAAAAAAAAAAATCAATCAATAAAGTGTTCATGAATTTTTTTAGTTTTGTTTCATTTTTAATGTATATCCTTCCAGACTGTTCTCTTTGCTAACTTGCTCACACATGAATACTTATCCCATTAAAAGGGCAATCATGTTATACAAACTCTTCTAAAATCAGCTTCTAATTATTTGGCAATCAGGGACCATTTGCACTTAAAAAGTAAAGATCCTGCTTATTTTTAATCGCTACATGACATTCTGTTTTATGGTTTCATCATAATTTATTTAATCAGTTGCTTGTTCATGATGTTCATTTGAATCCAGTCTTTGTTATAAGTTAAGACAACATCCTGGGTCATTCATTCTTCTTTACACAAGGGTCTGATATTTCCTTAGGATAAATTCCCAAAGGCAGAAGTGTAGATTCAAGAGGATGCCAAGTTTTAAAGGCTTTTGGCTCATATCATGCCTAGAAATTTGAGCCCCTCTGCTTCCTCTGTTCATGTCCCCAACTCCATGCCCAGACCAGTATTACTATTCTTTTTCATCGTTGCCTATCTGATAGTAGTGTAGTGTGCTGTTTTCATTAGCGTTTCTTTGATTATCAGTGAGTCTAAATATTCCTTCTTGTGTGGCAAAACATTTTGGAAAGAATGATTCTTTTTTCTGAGAAAGAAATTCACAAAAAATTAAATCAACTTTAAAAGGAGAAACTGGAATGGAATAGATGCTCACAGTAATTTAGTACAAGCAAATTACAGATTTAGTGACAATAACAGTAACCTCGCTTTAAAATGCATTGTCCCATGTACTGACCTACCAAAAAGCAAGGAAAAATATGTGTATATATGTTTAGTTAAACATCTCTTCAGTGGGTTTCTCATTTGGACACAAAGCAGTAATAGGGGAGAAATCAACACTAGGCTGAATTCATCCCCAGGAAACCTTATAACATCAATATTGGACTCAGATCAATGAGGCAGGACCAGTTTCTGAATACCTGGACAGGTATGTGTAATGGTTCCACCAAGAAATGTAAGAGACATCCAGTATTGAAAGACACAGATTGAATTTAGAAGACCTCATGAAGTCTGTCAATAGAAAATATTTGGATCTAAGTTGTACATCAATTTGGAAAGTTGTTTATAAATAGAATATTTTCAAGTGGACATAACTTAGATGCACTAGGGATCATGAATCATTATACTATCAGTTTCATTTGTAAATATGGACTTTTGCACTCAAAATTTTCTTAAAAGAAGACCCATCTTTGGGGTCATCTCAAGTTTTCTTCATGTTATTCCTCCTATCTTGAAAAGAGCATTTAAAATCTGTTGGGATGGAAAATTCCACTAGTCTATGGCTTGAAGTGTGTAGATTTAACCCAAATTTCTTTATTTTTTTTTTTCAATCTTCACCCAAGGATATTTTTTCCTTTTATCTTCACATAGAGTGGGAGAGGGAGGGAGGGAGGGAGAGAGAGAGGAGAGAGAGAGAGAGAGAGAGAGAGAGAGAGAGAGAGAGAGAGAGAAACATCGATGTGAGACAGACATATAGACTGGCCTCCTGAATGACCCCGACCAGGGCTGGGGACCAGACCGCAACCGAGGTAAGTGCCCTTGACTGGAATCAAACCCAGACTCTTTGTTCTGTGGGCCGATGCTCTAACCACTGAGAAAAACTGGCCAGGGCTAACCCAAATTTCTTAATATCCTGTAACATCCCCACCAAAGCTCATTCCTCTCAATAATTTCTTTTGTAATTTACCCAATCGAAGAATAATTTCAGGCTAATTTAATCAGTATGTTTTTGGTTATGTTTATAGTAACGTCTTGAGTGTTTTACCATCCCTCTTTTTATCTTTTAATATGGTATTTGGTTGAAGTAAATAACTATGTTACAGTTGAAAAGTTGCCTTTGATCCAAGACAAATCAGGCCATCAAACCAGAGCCCTCCTGAAAGCGGCTTCCCAACACCACTGCGTCATTTACTGTTTGCTTTCCTTAGGTTCAATGTCAATTGCTCTCCTTCCTCTGTGCACATCTCCGTGTGCTCCGGTCACAGGAAGTGAGCGCTGGGTTCTGCAGGTCCCACACGCCACCCCGTGCACTGGCCTCTGCTCTCTGGTCTGGAGGAGGCTGCCCGCTGCCGCTATGGGCGGGCTCTAGCCCACACGTATATTTTATTTGGACTTTACTGTATTTTCCTTTTAAATTCGAGCCAACATTTAAAAACCAAAACATTCCACATGAAACCCTGGGGAAGTTCTGGCAGTACTGTGTCTGCTGCTTCAAAGTGGACTCAGCCACGGCCGGGCGAGGGCCAGTCTGTCCAGAGGCAGCTCATGCTGAACTGTGACTCAGCTGAAACAAACAAACCTGGCTAGTTCAGTTCCTTACATCACCTGCTCTGCTTCTTCAGGTGACTTTCAGACTCCCGCCAGAGATGCAGATGATCCAGAGGACAAAAGACACAAGCTTTGCCCTGGCCGGCGGCTCGGTTGGTTGCAGAGTCGTCCATAAAAGCAAAGGTGGTGGGTTAAATTCCCAGTCAGGGCACACAACCAAGGTTGCAGGTTCAATTCCCAGTTGGGGCCTGTAGGGAAGGCAACCGATTGATGTTCCTCTCTCACATCGATGTTCCTCTCTCTCTCTCCCTTCATCTCTCTTAATACTATTCTGCCATAAAAAGGAAGAACATTTACCCTTTGTGACAGCATGGATGGACCTGGAGAACATTATACTGAGTGAGATAAGCCAGTCAGAGAAAGAAAGTGTCACATGACTCACTCATATGTGGAATTTAATGAACAAACTGAACTACCAAGCAAAATAGAGACAGACAGAGACAGAGCAGGCAGACAGCTCTGGTTGGGGTGAGGGGGTGGAGGGTGAGCAAAAAAAAAAGAGAGAAAGAACTCATGGACATAGACAACAGTGTGGTAATTGCGGAGTGGGGGGAGGGAGGAGTTGGTAAAGTGCATAAAAGGGATAAATGGTGATGGAAAAAGAATTTTAAAATTACAAAAACCCAATAAAATAAAATCAATAAAAACATATCCTTAAATGAGGATTGAAAAAAAAAGAACACAGGCTTTGCCCTCTGAGGCATATTATCTAATTAGGGAGCCAGGGCATTCGTCCTTGACAAACCAGGAAGACCCTACGGGTCAGGAAGCCACAAGAGCTATTGCGGTGCTGTGGGAATTGACCGATGGGTGGGAGAAAAACTGTATCAGATTAAGGATTACAAGTTTTGAGACAAGGGAAATGATAATAGGTGATGTTGATTGAATATTTATGATGTACCAAGCACTTTTCTAAAGATTTATGTATAACTTATTCCCATAACAATTCTGTGAGTAGGTAATATTATCCTAACCTCCAGACAAGGATGCTGAGTCCTAGGACAGTGGAGCTGGAGGCCTAGAAAGCTGAGGTGTGCCACCAGGACTGTGTCCTCCTGGAGACCAGACTTGGGGGCAGGCCAGAGCCAAAGCCTGTGTGCCAAGGGGCAGGTCTATTAACGGCTCTGTGTTTTCGTTTACGCCTCTGAAATTATCCTCATCTTCCCCCTGTAAGAGGGAGATTGGGTTGGTGGTTGGGGGCGGCTGTGACTGGCAGTCATGGGGCGACCAGGGGTTCCCACACAGGAGCTACAGATCTGATTCCCCAAACTGTGGGACGCTGGTGAGGCCACCGTGGCGGGCACTGTGCAGCTCTTCTCAGTCCTGCAGTGAGCCTGAGAAGCTGGGGCTGTTGTAAAACTTTGAGTGTCATCAGGAAATCCAGGCTGGGGTCCTTCAGCACCTGTGTTCTCAGCATTCTCAGCAGAGCCTTGGGCCAGAGCCATGGTTAATAAGCTATTACTTTCCTTTCCATTTGTGCCTGTTTGTAAGTCCAGCCCGTGGATGGGAGGGTCACCTGGGCAGGATTTCAGTGGGCATTCCCTGACTTCACAGATCTTTATTGAGCACATACTGTGGCCCTCTTTAAACCATGGCAGAACTGTAACTACATGGGACCTAGCGGGGGATCCATGGAGATGTTCTACCCTTCCAGTGAATAACGGCTGCAGCAAACACTGTTCGCTGTCTACCCAGCATTCATGCCTTTTCGTTTGCTCACTGGTAGGGACCCAGTTCTGTTCAGTTATTTACTTCTCTGTATGTGACTCGGGGAGGGTAGCAGTGGTGTGCTGGAAACGGCTCTTAGCAGCTCATGCCAGATGATTGCTAAATTTCCGGAAAGTCATTATTAAAAATAAAATTATATAAACCTATAATTTAATAAATTAAATTTAAATATACTCAAAACTCATAATTTCCTAATTATTTTACTATTATCTATGCTCTTAAGACTATGCATGCCTATTCCGTGCACATGGTGGGAATAATATATAATGGTGTGCTACTGCCCCTCCAAATTCCATATCTAGTAATGTCACATGAGTAGCTTGAAATTTGCCGAGGTAGTTCTATTTACACCACATACATTGGCACACATTATAAATCAGGGCTTTGATTTGTTTTCCTGGGTGAGCCAGTTGTGAAACATTTACTAGCACACCATTGGGTAATCCTATTCCTACCTTCAGGAGGAAATTCTAATTAATCTGGGTTAAACATGGTAGCTCTATTTCCCTCTCATTAGGCATGTGACCCAGTTCTGGCCAATGAGACATGAAAGTTGCTTTTAGAGGGAGTGCTTTGGAATTTTTTTCTTACTTAAAAAAAAAAAAAAAAGAGCCAGGGTAGAGATGGGCTCCTCCTGTTTCTGGCCACATGTGACATGCCTAGACTTCCAGAAGTTATCTCTAACAATGCCAAGGCATGATCAACAGACTCTTTCTTTCTTTCTTTCTTTCTTTCTTTCTTTCTTTCTTTCTTTCTTTCTTTCTTTCTTTATTTTTGGACCTTACAGTCAGAGAAAAAGAAATTAGCATGTCTTTCTTATATTTTCTCTTCTAGAGGGGACCCCAATAGATGTGACATCTGGGGAAACACTCCTCTACATTATGCAGCCTCCAACGGTCATGCTCACTGCATCTCATTCCTGATCAACTTTGGTGCCAACATCTTTGCCTTGGACAATGACTACCAGTCTCCACTCGATGCTGCTGCCAGCAGAGAGCAAAAGGAATGTGTTGCTCTCCTGGATAAGGCAGCCACTGCCCAGAACATCATGAACTCCAAGAAGGTCACTAGGCTGAAGGAGCAGGCTCAGAAGAATGCCAGGAGGCAGATCAGGGAGTGTGAGAGACTCCAGGAGAAGCACCAAAATAAGATGGCCCGAACCTACAGAAAGGAGGAGTCTGGTTCTCTTTCTTCCTCCAAGGGCACTTTTTCCAGCTCATCCCTTTCAAATGCTTCTGCTTCCAGCACATTTGGGTCATTGTCTAAGGGCATTAAAGACACCTTCAAGTTAAAGTTCAAGAAGAATAAAGATACAGCAGAGCAGGTAGGGAAGGAGTACAGAAATGGGCAGAGGAATGTGATGGAAGTGTTCAGGGAGGAGGAAGAAGACACCTTCTCAGAGGACTTCAAGGAGAAGCTTCAGTTCTCAGCAGAGGACAGCTGTGTGCAGCAGGAATCCATTCTCAGCCGTCCAGGTCTAGGAAATATTGTTTTTAGAAGGAACAGATTATTGAGCCCTGAAGAAATCTTGGACAAGAAGAGGGAGTTGGGATTTAAAGTATCCAGTGAACTGCTCCAAGGAGCAGTGGAGGCTGACGAAGCGGAGGCTGATGAAGAGGGAGAGGAAAACAGCTTGGAAGATGAATTGCCTTGGGATGAGGATGTAGTGGAGTGGGAGGAAGACGTGCTGGATGCTACACCCCTGGAAGTATTCTTGCAGTCCCACCACCTGCAAAACCTCCTTCCCTTTTTTATGAGAGAGCAGATTGATCTAGAAGCTCTGCTGCTTTGCTCTGATGAGGACCTTCAGAGCATACAAATGCAGCTGGGTCCCAGGAAGAAGGTTCTTAGTGCCATCAACAGAAGGAAGCAGGTGCTCCAGCAGCCTGGACAGCTGGTCGACACCAGCCTGTGAGGCGTGTTGGCTCAGTGGGGTGAGCCTGCCGCAGTGGATGAGGCTGTGGCCCACTGGACGCACCCCAAGCAGGACCTACTCTCTACCGAAGGCCACCACGAGGACAGCGTCTGGCTTCTGGAGATGCCCACCTAAAAGAGAGGCCCAAGCTCTACTCTGAGAAAGTCTCTATACCTGTACAAATAAACCACCAGTGAGAAACTCAAAGAGACCTGGGAATGAAAAATGGCGTTTCTCTCTAGTTATATTTTTAATATTTTTGAATACGGAAAAGGTTAAATGGATGGCAGGGAAGAGGACACACTCTTTTTACTTTTCCAACTCTGGGTTTAAGATGACCATCTCTCATCACACTGCTTTTCACTTTCTGATTTTCATGGCCTGGGGAATCTAACTCCAGTTCTATCCTTCGCTCTAGACTTTGTCTGTTGGTGGAGATCAAAGCTTCTCCATTGGTGGGAGATTAGATACCCAGCTGAAACATGTCTAAACCTCCAACGGATGTCTACATGTTTGCAAGCAATGGAAATGCACCTGCAATACTGCGTGAGCACAGAGGCAGCATCAGGGAGAGCGAGGAGAGAAACAGAAAATAGGGTACCTGCTACGGAGTGAACTGTTTCCCCCAAATTCACATACTGAGGCCCTACGCGCAATGTAACTTTGTTTGGAGATAGGACCTTTATTAAAAAGGTGATTAAAGTTAAGTGGGGCCGTCAGAGTGGGGCCCTAATCCCATATAACTATTGTTCTTGTAAGAGGAAGAGACACCGGGTGCACAGAGAAAAGGCCAGGTGAGGCCACAGCAAGGGGACCGCCATCCGCATCCCAGAGAGCGGCCTCGGGAGAAACCAGACCTGCCGGCACCTTGATCTTGGACTTCCAGCCTCTGGAGCTGTAAGAAAATAAATGTGTGTTGTGTGAGCCAGCAGTCTGTGGTCTTTGTTACGGCGCCTGAGCAGACTGACACCGTGCCTGGGCCAGAGAGGGTGGGGAAGAGGGAGACACGTATGGGGAAAGCCTGGCTCAGTGGGTGATTTTTCTAAGGGTAAGTAGCCCTGGAAACCTCAAAGAAAAAGGGAAAAATCTAGGTTCTTTGTAGGGAAATTTTGATTACAAATTTTACATTTTTTATGCTCATTATGTGTCTACTTCCCCCCCCCCCTCCTTTTAGTGCTTAGACAATAGTGTGTTTTATTTGTTTTTAAATTTATCTTTATTGTTGAAAGTGGCTATTCAGGTCCTCTGCCCGTTTTTAGTGGGACTGTCTGTCGTGCCTCCTTGGTTTGCCCTGTCACCACTGCTGCCCCTGATCCATGTGGTCCTGTGGTCGAGGTTGGCGCCGCTGCTGCCGGCATTCTTTGAGCGGCAATCCCACATTCAGATGGAAACCCCGCGGAAGAGCTAAACTTCACTGGATTTTCACAGCCAGACTTAGATCAAATGAACTTCACCGTCAATTACGTGCATGAAGTAGAAGCAGCGTGCCTTCGGCGTGCTTCCTGATTCGCTCTGTTGGGTACTTTCGGGAGGCAGCATGGGGGCGCAGGGAGGGTCCAGATGCTCAGATCTGATGGATGCTTGGCTCGTGCTCCCACAATGGATGGATCAGAGAGGTTGTCAGTCTTCGAACAGATGCATTGCACTCAGGGAGGATTTACAAATACTGCATTTTGTTGGCCTAGAATGAACTGAAGTTGTATTTGCTTTCCACAGTGTGCACAAAAGCAGTTGCCACATGGAAGGCTCTCAGGACAGTGTGTGGCTCTGAGCCCGTGCGTGCTGTCAGGGAAATGACAGAGAAGTCTGGTGATGTGCTCTGGCAGACACGAGGCAGCGGGAGCTGGAACCCACCCTCCACTTGAGGGGTGGCATGCAGTGCGGGCAGCAGCAACGCTGGCCCTGGAGAGAACAGGAAAGGCAGGCTGTGGGAATGTTGCCCGCCTGTGGGGTTTGGTTCTCATTGCTTCATCGAGTTGACGGTTTCCGGTCGGAATTTTCTCCACTGCCCTACTGGAGGGAGAGGGGTAGCGACTGGTTCAGCAAATGTGGGAGGGAAGATTGGTTTGCCCGGCAGAACTGAAAGCTGCCACCAAGTCCACCCCTCAGCCTTCATGTCAATTCTGGGGTGAGACAGAGTTAGAAGTACACGTGGATTTAAAAATCTCATATCAAAATGCCATCAAGTGCCCAGCTTGTGTGGCTCAGTGGTTGAGCATCGACCACGCACCAAGAGGTCGCCGGTTCGATTCCCCATCAGGGCACATGCCCAGGTTGTGGGCCTCATCCCCAGTGGGGGGCATGCGGGAGGCAGCCAATCGGTATTCTCTCTCATGGATGTTTCGATCTCTCTCTCACTCTCCCTTCCACTCTCTCTAAAATCAATAAAGAAAAAAAAATTCCATCACATTGTTGGGTTAAAAAGGGAGCAAACATGTTCATGTAATCACAGTGAATAACTAAACCTCTGAGAGGCCGGGATGGGCGAGCAGAAGGTAAGTTGTGTGTTTTGAAGAGTTGCATTTTATTTTAATTGAGGTATTCCAGCTTGTGGTCTCCATAGGCTGAGCTGCCACCCCCTGGACACCTCCTGTTGTTCCAATGAAAGGGCAGATGCTGTATCTGTGCTTATCACAAGGACTGGCTCAAAAAGGTACGAGTAGAACAGTCAGAATTGGCTTGGTTCTTCCATGTCAGGGAGCGAATGCGGTGAAGTAAAGGGTTCTCGCTCCTGGGAGCTCTGGGTTCCCAGTCCCCATCAGAGAATCCAGGACCCGCCTTCTACAGCTGATGCCGTGCCAGACTGTGCCAGACTACTCCAGCTCGGCCAAGGAGCCAGGCACAGAGCTGGGCGCGTGACCTGGGCCCGGGGAGGCTCAGTTCTGGGACTTTAACTGTTAAGGAGAGAATCTCTGTCTGCCGGGGCTGCCGGGGACACAGACTGTGGGGACTCCCAGGGGACCTGCCCGGCCGCGGGGCCAGCACTGAAGACGGGCTGTGGTGGCGGCGACCGCTGAGGTCTGGCTGGCCCCGGAAGGCGCGCACGCCGCTGCGCGACCACCGCCTGTGTGCTGCCCAATACGACAGCCAGTCAGGCCCTCTCTGTCCATCGACTCCTTCCGCGGAGGGCGGTGTGAGTTGTGGCCTTTACCACGGTGACCAAAGGAGTCCCCGGCACAGACGCCAGGTGGTTCCCTGAAACTTTAATTGTAAGCAGCAAAAAACAAAAGGCTACGAATGTATGTTTCCACTTATGGGAGATGTCCAGACGGCAAATCCGTTTAGACAGAAAGGAGGTGAGTGGTGGCCGGGTGGGGGGTGGGGGTTGGTGGGGCGGGGGGTACGGCGTTTCTCTCTGGGTGAGGGAAAGGTTCTGGAGTGACACAGTGGTGATGGACGCCCAACTCTGAATATACTAAAAACCACTGAACTGTACACTTTGAAGTGATGAGTCTTGTGGTATATAAATTGTACCTCAATTTACAAAATAGGAAAGTTTCAATGCAGTCATTGCAGCACCCCAGCAAGTGAATGGGAACACGTGACCCCTGGCTTTCGCCACGAGGGACAGAAGTTATCGAAGCAAGAACCGCAGAATGGAAAATGCTTTATTTCCAGGAATCACAAAAGTAGGTGAAATACCTGGAGGAGGGAGTGTGCTGTGATCCGGCCTAACACAGCGGGTCCACCTAACTTCGCTTTCTAAGTACAAACAAATGGGCACCTCATTATTTAAGACAAGACATGATGAGCACAAAACTGTAACTTGCTGGGCACGGGGTTCCCTCATTTGATCTAGAAATTACCAGACAGTGGGAGGCGATGGCGCTTGAGCGGCAGCGTCTGCTTCCGCCGCCGCACCTGCTTCACCGCCCGGACGACCAGGAGTCGTACACCAACTTGGCTGCAACGGTGTCTTCCACCGCCATCCCTGCAACGGGCAGAAATGCAGTTCACTGTCCATCAGAACAGCTTTTCCCGAGACAGCCCGGACTGACCATCTCTAGAGACACCACTATCCATGGTGCTAACGCTGATTAGGGAGCCAAGACCGGTGTCCAGGCCAGCTCGGCTCCGAGGGCCCGCGAAGGCCCAGGAGGCGGTGACAGGATTCCAAGCAAGAAGAGTCCACCAAACACGTGGCTCTGTTCCAACCAGACCTTCTTTACAAACCCCAAAGTTTGAACTTTGTTTGTTCTCCCCTCCCCCAAATATTTGAAAATGTAAAAACCATTCCTAGCTCGTAGGTTGAACAAAAATAAGTGGTGGGCCAGGCTGGGCTCACAGGCTGTAGTTGGTGGACCGCTGTTGTCGCCCAAACCCCAAATCCTTCAGCAACCGGTCTGTCTTGCTGCTTTGCGTACACACCTCAGCCTTGGATGGCATGTGCTCTTCAAGGGCAGGGCTGGTTTTCACTAACTGTTGTAACCGCCACTGCACCCAGCACAGAGCCTGACACATAACAGGTGTTTGACATGCACTTGCTGCACAGAAAGATGTGCCAGTAAACCACTCTCTACAGTGAGAGAACAAACTGCTCAAGAGGGCAGCTTTCTGTGGTGTCCTGTTTTCCGAAGAAGGTGGTTGACCTCCAGCCTGTGAACTCTGAGGCGTTCAGACACAACTGGGCCAGCACGGTGCCTCTGAACCAGCACCAGGTGAAGCTTACACCACCTCTGCCTGCCTCTCTGGGCAGGAGAGATGCAAAAATATTTCACAGCTGGCAAGGCACTGACACTGACCTACCGGCCGGAGGGCAGGGTGGCTGGAGACTTCTGCATGTTCTGCCCACTGAGGTGTGGGGGCTGGGTCACAGAACTATGGGGGAGCTAGGGAAGGGAGAGGCATTCCCAAGGGCAGTACCCTACCCACCAATCCCTTTGGGTGATTCAATATCCTAGGTACATCAACTGACTACCAGCTGTTACCGTGGGTGCCCATTTCCTTACACCAGGGGGAGTGGGAGAGCTGGGCAGCCCCCAGATGGAGCCCGTCCTCTGCTGGGCTTCTGCCTGACCCCCTGGGCTGGGGGGGGGCTCTCTGGGTAGCTCTCTGAACTGCAGCGGGTGTGCAGGGAAGAAGAAGCAGTGCTGGTCTGATCTTCCTGCGGAGTCTCTCACGCACACCTCACTCCACACTGACAGACACTCCACGCCCACCTCACTCCACACTCACAGACACTCCACGCCCACCTCACTCCACACTCACAGACACTCCACGCCCACCTCACTCCACACTCACAGACACTCCACGCCCACCTCACTCCACACTCACAGTCACTCCACGCCCACCTCACTCCACACTCACAGACACTCCACGCCCACCTCACTCCACACTCACAGACACTCCACGCCCACCTCACTCCACACTCACAGACACTCCACGCCCACCTCACTCCACACTCACAGACACTCCACGCCCACCTCACTCCACACTCAGACACTCCACGCCCACCTCACTCCACACTCAGACACTCCATGCACACCTTACTCCACACTCACAGACACACACCTCACTCCACACTGACATACACTCCACTCCCACCTCACTCCACACTCACACACTCCACGCCCACCGCACTCCACACTCAGACACTCCACGCCCGCTCACTCCACACTCAGACACTCCACGCCCACCTCACTCCACACTCACAGCACTCCACGCCCACCTCACTCCACACTCACAGACACTCCACGCCCACCTCACTCCACACTCACAGACACTCCACGCCCACCTCACTCCACACTCACAGACACTCCACGCCCACCTTACTCCACACTGACAGACACTCCACGCCCACCTCACTCCACACTCAGACACTCCACGCCCACCTTACTCCACACTGACAGACACTCCACGCCCACCTCACTCCACACTCACACACTCCACGCCCACCTCACTCCACACTCAGACACTCCACGCCCACCTCACTCCACACTCAGACACTCCACGCCCACCTCACTCCACACTCACAGACACTCCACGCCCACCTCAACTCTACACTCACAGACACTCACGCCCCCCACTCACTCCACACTCACAGACACTCCACGCCCACCCACTCCACACTCACAGACACTCCACGCCCACCTCACTCCACACTCAGACACTCCACGCCCACCTCACTGAACACTGAGACACTCCACGCCCACCTCACTGAACACTGAGACACTCCACGCCCACCTCACTCCACACTCACAGACACTCCACGCCCACCTCACTCCACACTCAGACACTCCACGCCCACCTTACTCCACACTGACAGACACTCCACGCCCACCTCACTCCACACTCACAGACACTCCACGCCCACCTCACTCCACACTGACAGACACTCCACGCCCACCTCACTCCACACTCACAGACACTCCACGCCCACCTCACTCCACACTCAGACACTCCACGCCCACCTCACTGAACACTGAGACACTCCACGCACACCGCACTCCACACTGAGACACTCCACGCACACCTCACTCCACACTCACAGACACTCCACGCCCACCTCACTCCACACTCAGACACTCCACGCCCACCTCACTGAACACTGAGACACTCCACGCACACCGCACTCAACACTGAGACACTCCACGCACACCTCACTCCACACTCACAGACACTCCACGCACACCGCACTCCACACTCAGACACTCCACGCACACCGCACTCAACACTGAGACACTCCACGCTACCGCACTCAACACTCACAGACTCCGCACACACCTCACTCAACACTCACAGAGACACAAGGCAACAGATCATGAGGAAACCTGGTTCGAGAGGTGAGGCCCATTTCAGAGAAGAGCATCCAACCCGACTGACTGATTCCAGCGTGCGTAGGCTTGACCAGACAGTAAGACATGTAAACAAGTGGCCCAGGTGATGGTGTCTCCACGAGTCAGCCAGGGAGCCTGGGAGTCTTCCTCCGCCACGAAGAACCTGCCTGTGCTCTGGTGAGCTGTGTGCCCCGCGGCAGTGGCCCTTACCCAAAGACTTGAACACTGTGGTCCTGTCACAGTAGGCTGGTTTCACTCCCTTCACCACTTCTCCCAGCTCAGCGAAGATCTCGGCCTGTGAAAGGAACACATGTTGGCCCCGGCCATGCGCTCAGGTCTGCTCCCTGGCTTGCACAGCCATCCCCGAAGTGGGTACAAGATAACCTGGATAAACAGACCATTTGTAAACTGGATGTTGTCAGGAGAGACACAGGTCTGTGGCCGGGGCATGCCCACCAGGACACTGTGTAGTGGGAAATAGGTGTGTTCCCATCCCAGCACTCACGTTGGCAGCCCCTCTTATATGCCTGCTTACAAAAGAGGAAAAGGCAGAGGTGGCCAACCATGGTCCTGTTTTGTTGGCCACCCTGGGCAGGGTCCTAGGCGACAACAGGCTCCCACTTCCTAACCCTGCTGCCTCACAGGACAGCCCAGTCTCCCGGGAAAACCCAGCAAGTCTTTCTCTCCAGGCAAAGAGGACAGGAAAACATGTCATAAGCAAAATGGCCACATTATTCTAAAAGGGAATTAGAAATGACTGAGAGATGTTTAGGCTCTGTTACCCCACAAAGAGGTGGGTGTGAACGAAGCCTGGGGCAGGCCAAGCATCAGGGGACTGCATGAGAGCCCGGGACCCGGGCGAGGCCACTGGGAGCAGCACCAGGAGCAGAGGCTCACCCCTGAGAGGAGGACATCTCCGGACTCTTTGAGGGCAGCCTCCCGGGAGTCGACATACAGCAGCGCCTGTTCCATGAGCTTGTCATCCAGCTCTCTCCAGTCGGGTCTGCTGGCGCCCACGGCTGAGGAACAGCACGACACACCCTGAGCCCAGAGTCAGAGGGATGCTGACCACTCCAAGAATGGATGACGGTGGGACATCCACGGTGGGACACCCACAGTGGGAATGCCTCACTTCCCGGGCCAGCCCCTCCCAATCGGCAAGACGGACGACTCAGTAACCGGAACAGTACCTGCCACCTTTTGCCTTTCTGCTTCCAATCCCACTCCAGTCCTAGAAGACTGTGAGGCAGCTCAGCGTTCATTTACGGAGTGCCTACCTCTGGAAGGCTTCACACATATTATTTCTATTCCCTACTATTCACTTTATGTCCAACTCCCCTTTGAAAGATGCACTAACAGAAGCTCAAAGGAGTTAAGACGCTTGTCAAGGTTGTGCATCGAATGCTTGGAGACCTGGGCTCCATCCAGTGTGTTCCTTTCATGCCTCTTCCCTCCACAGGAGCAGTGACTGCCTCACCCAGACCCCGAAACAGAAACATCACTTGCAGCTTCCTCATTCCCACACTCCTCAGTCTGCTTATTCTTAACCATCCCTCCAACCACTTCTGTCCGACTGTGATAAGGGAGCCCAGTGTCAGGGTCTGGGAGAAAGCCCAGTAAAAACGAACTGGCTCCCTCCTGGTGCTGAGCTCCCCTGTGCTCTGTGGAGCCCGGAACCGTAGCGATGACTCCTGGCTCAGCACACAGGATAGCGCAGAGACTGTGCCCAAACGCCTGCAGGGCCAGGCAGGTGGCAGGTGTGAATGAAGCTGGTCAAAGAGGCTGGACTGGAAATCACAAAGACCCAAATATACAGCAGAAAGCAGGCCCTCCTGGAGGGGACAGGGCTGGGCTCCAGCTAATTGGAGGCATGTGCCAATGCAGGCCCACTGGCTGGCATTCCAGCTGCTTTACAGCGGAAGCAGGACATCTATTTGCATGTGTGATTTTTTGGTTTTTAGAACATTCAGTGGTCCAAACCAAACACATCAGCTGGCTGGATCCAGCCCACAGCCAGCCGGCCACTGGCGGGCGCTGTAAAACCTTGTCCCCGCACAAGGCGGCACCGCATGCTGCCAGTCTTCTCTCCTCACCCCTCTCCTCTCTCTCATGTTCCCCCCCACCCTCATTTTCAAAGAGAGTGGAGTAAAAATGTCCACCTTGAAGCCATAAATAAATCAGCAGATGTTGGGCGAAACCCCGGGCTCTCGGGCCACCTCCTCTCGTGGCCCTGAGCAGGGCAAGTTCTCAGAGGGCGTGTGAGGCCACCAGGCAGCCGGAGGGCCCAGCAGCACAGGGAGGGGCCTCACTCAGGCTGGGCTCCGGCCTTGCTTCAGCGGGCCTGGAGCACACGAAGGCCAGACACTGGCCAGCGGTGGGGTACGGGCAGGAGGCGGAGTGGGGGACCTGGAACTGAGCCTGTCTCTCAGCCCAGCTGGAAAGCAAGTGAAATTGTCGGTGTTTCCATACAACACTCATGAAGGACCTGTGATGCACTTTTCTCAAGGACATCTGGTGCTCCTGCGAACACACAGACCGATTCGGGCCTTAGACCAGGGAAATATAAGAGACGTCCTGACTCAGTGCCGCTGGCCTTTCCTGGGGAGAGTCAGTGTGAGACGGACCTCCTGTGAGAGGTGCTACCTCTACTGGCTTTGACGATGGCAGGTGCACATGCTTCTGGGGCAGCCAGGAACCAAGGAAACAGGCACCTCCCCCAAGAGTTCGAGGAAGCGGCCACACCCCGTCAGCCTGAACGCAGCCCAAGTTCTGCCTGGCTGCAGCCTGGAGAACCGCCGGACCTCATGCTTTGTGAGGAGGGGCCCAGCTAAGCCACACCCTGACTGCTGACCACAGAAACTGAGACAACACACACGTGGTTTTAAGCTGGAAAAAAAAATCAGGTCAGTCTTGCTGAAGATTAAGCTCTTGTCCATTGCACCAAAAACTGGTTGCTTTAGACTCCCCCAAGCTTTTCATAAATGGTCTTGCCGTCCATTAAGCAGCCTCAGTCCACCTCTTACCTACCACGTGCTACCTACCCGGGGACTCTATTCCTCAGCGGCCCATGCTTCGCTCCCTTCACGGGGTGACCGTTAGCTGGGACTGTGGGGCTCATCTGCCTGTTCACTTGGCTGTAGTCGATCTCCTCTCGAGAAAATGTAGGTGCCAGGGAAGCAGGGATGGTGAGTGCGGGTTCACTGTGGCGACCCTCCACCTACACCAGTGGCGGCACACGGCAGGAAGTCAACGAGCATCTGTAAGCGCATGCGTGAGCGTGGCGCTCGGTTCCTGCAGGCTCATCTGCAGTGTGTACAGAGCTCTCAGGCTTTGAGTTCACACCATGTGCTCGTCACTAAGACGTGGGGCACCGATAGCACAAATCCTCTGGTCTCTGCCTGCTGACGCACCAGCATCCAGCTGGGCCCTGTGGGCAGAGTGCCTCGGTCCAGATCCCAGCTCCGCCCTGAGGACCTCTCCGACTCTGGGCAAGTTAGCAAGAGGCTTAATCTCTCTGTGCCTTAGTTCACCGTCTGTAAAACGGGGCTGTGATAACAAAGCTCCTACCTCGTGAGGCTGTGGTAGGACGGAAGGACACACAGTGAGAACACAGAACAGCACCTGCAATAGCTCTGGCTGTTCCCAGGCCACTGAGGACCTCCAGAGGCCCCAGGAACTCGTGCCTGTGGAGTTGCACCCATCCCATCACCCATTAAAAAGCATTCACATTTCACACGAAATGTCTTTAGTACTGTAATTACTTTTGGTAGTTCTAAATGTTAACAGTGAATGAATTGGTCATTCATTACATTTAAAAATTGAGCTGTGACTGACCATTTGCTATAATGTTCCATTATATAGATATTGTATTAGTTTCAGGTTTGTGATGTTTTCCTTTTGGAGTGAATATTGTTTTTTGGGGCTCACATGTCTGCAAGGCCCTTGAAAAGCTCAGGAATTGGGCAAGTGACACAGACACAGCCCCTGGTCCAGCCCAGGACCAGTCTGACCAGCTACCCAGAAAGCCACTCTGCTTACCATTGATGTGAGCCCCTGGCTTCACCCAATCGCCAAACAAAATGGGCTCTGTTGCCATGGTGACTGTGATGATCACATCAGCACCTGTCACGGCCTCCTGGGCTGATGAGCAGACCTGAACCTCTCCTTGCACGGTGGCCGCAAACTTCTCGGCGTTTTCTTTGGTACGATTCCATATCCTCACCTTCAGCGGGAGTAACAAGAGGGACATTGGTGCCAGGATCATTGTTTTATCAAGCCCGGAGGTGCCAAGGGCTGTGCTTGTTTAAATCACCCCCTAGAGAAATGGACATTTCATCAAGGACACGCCATTGCTGTGGGCAGACACCTGGCAAGGTAGCTGAAAATGACCTTGCTCTAGCCCTTCCTTCTTAAAGAAGGGGAGAAGTTTTTCTTCTTTTTATTGTTGACAGTATTAAAAATGCCCCCCACTTTAGGTGAGAAGTTTTTCAATTCCAGCCCAAGACACACAGTGTCATTAATTTAATAGCTACTACATAGCCCAGTTACTGGCAGAGAAAGTTCTGGACCTAGACAAGCTTCGCATCAAAACTTGCTCTCTCACTTCCTGAGCCTGGAGTTACTTAGCCTCATTCAGTCTGTTCTCATGTCTGTAAAATGGGAACGGTAACTGGGCAAGGACGGCAGGAAACTCACACTGGACGTCTGCGCGCCTGGGAGGGAGTTGCAGCAGGTGTGGGGTATCTGGCAGGACTTTGTGTGGAACCACGTGGTCTCCAAGGCTATGCGGGGAAGTAAGGTGGGAGGGGTCCGAGGGGCGGATGGTGCGGCGATGCAGAGGCCGAGAGCAGGGCCTACGGGCAGGGTCCTGGACTGACAACTTCCTGGACGTCACGTCTGAGGAGGGCGTTGTCAGCCTTCGACTGAACATAAGCCCTAAACAATCTCTCTAAGGAAATACACTATGAAAATAAACCTGTGTCTAAGTAAGTTCACCAGCCAAGGTGAAAACCAACAAAATATGCCGTCATGAGAGAATGATTAACCACACCACCCTCCTTGATAGAAAGTTATGCAAATGTTATACAAAAGTGAAGGAATCTATAAAAGGGATGACGTTAGAACATTCAATGAAAAGACAGGCTATATAACTTTGTATATCTAATATGATTAAAACTCTCATAAAAAGCTAGTGAGAGAAGATGAGAAAATGTGAACTGTTGCTGGTTTTGAAAACAGACAAAAGGGCATTTTTTTCTATTGTTTTCTTCCTTATAGTCCACATTTCCCAAAGCAGAGGTATTATTTTTATCCTAAAAAAAAGCATACTTGAATCCGCCCCAGCTCTCTCACACACACAAACAGTAAAATGAAAGCGGAATCCAGTGTTCCCAGGGTGGACTGTGAGCCACGACGGGAAAGGGGACCACATCTGGGCTGGAGAGGGGGTGCTGTGGTCCTCTGCTCTCTGGGCCTCACTTCCAGTTTCTGGATCCATAACCCCCAATACTTAAAGGCTCCCAGACTCTCCTAAGAAAAGCAGAGAGGAGCCAAAAGGACAGTGAGTGCACCAGAGAGCAGATACGCACTCACCTTTACCTGTCCTCTCACTAACCAAGGGCTGGCTGCATCCGCAGGCGGACGCTGTGAGCTGAGAAAGAAACAGGTGCTCCAGGCCTTCTGCGCCCCTCTCTGCTGAACTGGGACTTCTGGGCAAGTCATGAATGAAAAGAATGGTCTAGATCATGCCTAACCATTTCAGAAAGCCCGTGCCGAGCAGAGACACAGGCTTCCAGACAGTGCTTCCCTGCCCCTCCCCTGCTTGTAGGGAAACTGCTCTGTGAAGACCTCATAGTGGCTGTAGGCCTGGACCCCGGCCCCCAGGACGCACACGACTTCCCTGCCGCTCACCTGCTTGTAGGGGAACTGCTCTGTGAAGACCTCATAGTGGCTGTAGGCCTGGACCCCGGCCCCCAGGACGCACAGGACTTCCCTGCCCCCCTCCCCTGCTTGTAGGGGAACTGCTCTGTGAAGACCTCATAGTCGCTGTAGGCCTGGACCCCGGCCCCCAGGACGCACACGACTTCCCTGCCCCTCACCTGCTTGTAGGGGAACTGCTCTGTGAAGACCTCATAGTGGCTGTAGGCCTGGACCCCGGCCCCCAGGATGCACAGGACTTCACTGCCCGGCGGTTTCAGATACTGTTTGAGGGAAAGGAGAAGGAAAAGGTCAAGGGAGACACTAGCAGCCAGGTGAGCAGCAAATATGGTGTGTGTCAGGGGCTGCGGCCCTACCCTCAGGCACTCTCTATCCCTCCCCCACCCCCACTGCCTGGTAACCACTATCGAACGCTCTGTTTTCATGAGTTTGGCCTTTTTAGATTAAGCCCTAGAGATCTAATGCATATCTAATGTCTATATGTGAATATAGACAACATTATTGTATCGTAGTCAGCAAACTTCCTAAGGGACTAGGAATTAATTATTCTAACCACTAAAATAAAAGGGCAATTATATAACATGATAGAGGTGCTAATTACCACTCAATGGCGATCACATCACAATATATAAATGTGCTAAATGTGCATGCTGTTCCCCTTACATTTACTGTGTTAGATGACAAACGTTTTTAAATCTCTTGGGACATCAAGGAGATATCCTTTTGTGTCTGTTCCTCTGGGAGAGCAGGAGGGAAGGAAGGAGCCTTCACTAGACCTCATACATGCCAGTGCTTTGCCTGCACGATCTCACTTGGTCCAGACACGGACTGTAAGAGCTGGACACTCTAGGACTCCCTGCCTCTTACGTGACGACACTGAGCTCCAGAGAGGACCAGGGACTGGCTCCGGGCCCCACAGCGGTCCACTGCACAGTGCAGCCTGTACCCAGGGCTTTCCTTCTCCCTGCTACCCCACCTTGAGGACAAGCCACACCCAGTTCTCAGGGCTCTGAGTCGCTATAAGAGCTGCCTGGAGCATGTACCCTGGAGACCAGGGTCCTCAGCTGTGCCTGCTGATCCTGTCTCCGCCTGTCTGCCTCTGACGAGGGGCGCAGAGCCGGCAGCTGTGTGTCTGTTTGGGAGTGGGTGCTCTCAGGGAGCCTTCTGACCTCCCTGGTAGGACAGACCACTTCACAGCATTGACTGACTTACGGATGCATTTCCCTGTAGGCCCTATGGGCCCTGTGAGGACAGAAACTGCCTATGGGAACAGAACGGGCATGCATGAATTATTACCTATACAAAATAGAACAGGGTTTCTTGACCTCAGGACTGCTGACATTTGGGCTGGATAACTACTGGCAGGAGGTAGGCAGGTGAGCTGTCCTACCTAGATAGGTGCATTATAGCATATTTGGCAGCATCCCTGGCCTCTGTCCTTTAGATGCTGGCAGCCCTCCCATCCACACTCCCTCAGTTGTGACCACCAAAAATGTCTCTAGACTGCTCAGTGTCCCTGGGGCAGGTGGCAAAACTGTCCCCGGTTGAGAACTACTGGCATAGAGGAAGAACATCACTTGCCCTTTGAACTATTTTTTAAAAGTAAGACCCTGTTCCACTTTTTCTCTCTTTTATTTAGCAAAATTCCAGCTCCTTGGGTCTGCTCTTTCCTACAATGCTAATTACTGAAATTTTGGAGTGTTGCCTTGAAAGAAAAAGTCTTCTAATCATTAATCACTGGTAAAAAGGAGTCTCAGAAATATTACCAGATGTTCACCTCTCCTACAGGTGCAGAAGGAGAGATTCCGCCTGTCACATGAACTATGGCTCAAAGAATCTGCTTTGAAAAGGTTTAGAAATGACAATACCCACAAGACTAGCACTCTTATGCATCTGCCCAATAAGGAGAACTAGGTGATTTTTCCTTAACTAACTCAGTTGTTTTCTGTTCTCAGTTAATATTAATCTATTCTTGGAAGTACACTTGGGCTTCAGAAATTGTTACAGTGCCCTGTAGAAGTAATCTTCAACCTCTGAAACCAAATGTCTAATTCTAATGGGTTATCTTACTTGATAATGGTTGCCTTGGTAGTAATGTTATAATTGTTATATCTTTTTATAAACAGTATAAAGTTTATAAGATTTATTAAATCGTAATAAGATCAGCAGCACTTCATTCTTTTCCTGTAAGAGTGCAGAGAGTTAAAAACACGTATATGAATCTGCTAGGTTTCTCACATCCTAGACAGCTGCCAGGTAAACAAAGAGTTGGCCAGTCTGTTTCATTTGCGTGTGCTAGGGTCTGGCATGGTCTGGCCCTCCTATCTCCCCAGCCCCCTCATGCCGTGCACCCCTGTCCTCCAGCCACACTGGTCTCCTTGCAGTTTCCCAAACACATGTGCTTCTGTCAACCACAGGGCCCTTGCACAGGTACTTTCCTCTTCCTGCCCCTCACAAGTAACTCCTATTATCCTTCAAATCTCAGCTCAGATATTCCTTACGCAGGAAAAGCCTTCCCAAACCCCTGACTTGATCAAGACTCCTGTTTTACAGTCTCATAGCACTTCATCCCTTTCATTCAATGTATTTGGCGGGGCTGTAGTTTCACATTTACTCAATGGACTTGAAACTCCCTGATGGCAGGCAGGTATGGTATCTGGTTTTGCTCACCATTCTATGCCCCACAGGCCTGGCACCTGGTGGGCACTCCAATATTTGTTGAATCAATGCATGCCAAGGATAAACCCTGCTATGGAGTGTCACCTTGAGAACATTTCAGAGTCCCCAACTTAGGTTTCGGTGCAACCCAAATGCAAAGAAGATACAGTGGCCATCAGACCTGAAAATGTCCTATACTTCTCCTCCCAAAAGCCCCACATGAAAGAGAACAGGTGAAAAGGGAAACATTCAACTTTTTCAGAGCAAAAAGCAAAACAGACCCTTTGTTACTTATAGAATAACCTATCTGACCCCAGAACAGAGCTGGGAGCTTCAGCCTCCGCTCTGCACCACCCACCCAGAGTCTCAGGTCCTCTGACTCAAGTTCTGTCAGCATGGCAAAGCACAGTGGACTGGGGGGGGGGGGGGTCTAGAACACTTGGGTTCCCAAACCTGGCTGATTATCAGAATAAACCAGAGACTATTAAAACACCAAGGTTCTTGGGCCCCACCCTCAGGAACTTTGATTCAGGGTTTGGGGAACCTGAAATTTCTTTTTTCAAATTTTTTTCTTCATCGATTTTGGAGAGAAAGGGAGAGGAAGAGAGAAATAGAAACATTGATGAGAGAGAACATCCACTGGCCGCCTCCTGCATGCCACCCACTGGGGATCGGAACCACAACCTGGGCATGTGCCCTGAGTGGGAATTGAACTGGTGACCTCTTGGTGCATGGGTCGACGCTCAACCACTGAGCCACACCGGCTGGGCCTGATTTTTTTTTTTAAACTCCTCAGGTGATGCTGCTGAACAGCTTGAGTTGGAAACTACTGATCTGGGACCAGAAGACCAGGTGGCCTTGGCAGATCCCACGGCCACCTGAGTGTGACGTCAGGAAGCTCTAGTCTCCAATTCCTTGTGCATGAAATGAGGTCAGTACTTGCTCTGCCTTCCTCAGTGAAATCCAAAGATACATCAAGACAATGGGTTGGAAATTACTTTGAAAAGGACTGGTGTCCTTTACCAATGAAGGCAGTGTTGTTAGAATCACTCTGTCCCTATGCCACCAATGAACATTTCCAAAGAGGGCCCTTTATTATTTTGATCTGAGTTAAGTCTGGGTATGATTTTTAGAAACCAGTTCATCAAGTCTGTAGTTGGTCTACTCCCATCCTAGACAGCTGCCAGGTTAATCCTCACCGCCTCCCCTCCCCCTCCACGTGAGCACAGGCTGCACACCTGGGCTCCGTTGGTGCAACCTGTGCTGGTTACATGTCCTCACACTCAGGCCTCCGAGCAGTGGCCCAAGACCTCGTCTTTCTCCACGTAATGGGAAAGACTTGGACTCTGGTAGTTCCCACACTCGGTCTTCTAGGTCTCCTCTTAGCTCGCACTTCTGAACACTGTTTTTGCTGCAGAATGCCCTGCCGCTGCTGCTTAGGAACCCGTCCCCGCCCCCTCCCTGCTGCCTGAAGAGCTCCCCCTGCCTGCCAATCCACTCCTTCGCTCCTGCAGGCTGCACTCAGATGTCACCTTCTCTGTGAGGTCTTTTCTGGATATTTTAAAACGTCGCCCCTCCCAAACACTGCTTTATTTTCATCCTTCTAACATACCATGCGTTTTTTTGTTGGTGGTGGTGGGGTTTTGTTTTGTTTTGAAGCAAATCCTGACATATTATTAAACTCAGAAGAGGTTTCTTGTTTACTAATTATCTTCTTAGCAAATCGTACTATTTGTGCCACTGTTTTGCTGACCGCCATCTCCGCGACGGAGCCCTCATGCAGCAGGTCTCGGGCCCTGGCCAAGAACAGGAATCAGGCTCAGACCCGCTGCCTTGTCTCCACTTCTTGTGCAGCACAGGCTCCAGCCCGGAGGGCAGCCACAGATTTACCAGAAACCCTGTGGCACCGGGCACAAGCAGTATTGGGAGTTGAAAGGGTCACATTTTAAATTCTCGCTCTGCCCCTTGGTAGCTGTGTGGTCCTAAGCAACTTACATACCCTCTCTGAAACACATTCCCTGTACCTGGCAAATAATGGTAATCATGTCTACTTTGCAAGATTGAGGCAAAGATCAGGAATAATGCATGTAGGGTGCCTGAAGTCTGGCCATGCTCATTAAATGGTAGCTAAAAAATTCAGGAAGCTCTGTGCTCACCTGACATCCCATATTTGGCAGATAGAGTTCCAGCTATGTCCAAAGGAAGACTAAAATACCTTCCTCACTCCTTGCTTAGACATTCAAGCTTGAGATCCCAGCCCCTCCCCCAGCTCACCTGGGCAGCACGGCCAGGAACCAATCTTACCTTGGTAGCGATGGCAGACACTGCGGCTGTTCTCTTTGCAGTTATGACATTTCCATCCATGACCTTGGGGGAAAGGACAGACAGTGGGCAAGGAGCCCCCCTATCCACTTAAACGGAGACAAGACACTGTAAAAGAGTGGCCCTAGAAAGTACTATCACCTACGAAGGGCATGGGCTTGGTGTCAGGCCTGGATCCGATTGACCCACTTGGAGAAATGCAACTTGGGACAAATATCTTAATCTCTAAGCACTATTTTCCTCACCTGTAAAAACAAAAATAGCACCAACCAGCCAGAGGCTTCCTGTGAGGATTAGATGCGTTGCCACACACGGAAACATCTAGCACTCGACGAGCCCTAGACAATCCCTAGTCTTTTCTTGCCTGGGATTCTCAAAACACTGAATTAAGGAGGAACTCGAGGAACAGGTCATTTGACCTCTGTGCCAGGGCCACGAAACTCTGAGTCAGTGGCTCTCAACTTGGGCTGCGCATGCAAGATGTCTGAAGATCTGGACGCTGAGCCGCGCTTTGACAAGCTGCACCGCCACTCTGGGAGGAGATGGGCATCCTTGGCTTATAAAACCCCCGGTGATTCCGAATTATGCCGGGCTCCTTATGGCCCCATCCTTTGTGCCATTCTCCTCTGTGTATGGTGTTCATCTCAGTTGCTCCTCACCAGGTGGTATCAGTATTCTCATCTTATAGACAAGAAAGGAATCGCTCACTACTGAGTAGATTCAGGAAGGATCTGTGGCCTTGTCATGCAGCTGGAGTCTGAGCTGGTCCCGCTCTCCTGGGAAACCACCATTGGCAGGTAGTGTGGATGTCAGCTCTGTGGGAGGAGCTAGATGCTCTTCCCAGAGGAGTAGGTTTCCTGGGGGGCCAGAAATTCAGGGGAGAAGGAAGAGCTAAGGACCCAGGGGAGGTTCAGGTGGAATTATGGGGAGTGTCCCCGATGAGGTCTACCAGGCAGCCTGGAGGGCACAGAGCACAGGCATTAAGGGTACCAGCTCCACAGTCAGACATTCCTGGACTTTTCACTAACCAGCTGTGTGACCCCAAACACAGTGACTCTGGGACTGCAACAGAAATTGGGTGGGGGTACAATGAGAAACTCCCAGGGAGGAACGTGTCAGAATGGAATGCGATCAGTTTCTCCTGCCTGGCGTGTAAGTGCTCGTAGGCAGCAGTCACAAAGGAAGGCCGGAGAGGACCGGCCCTGGACTCACACTGAGTCCAGCTGAAGTCCAGCCATGTCCCTTATTAACTACCTAAGCCTGGGTAAGTTGGGTCTAGTTGTTTATGACTCAGTTTCCTCATCTGCAGAATGGGATGACATTATTACTTACCTCCAAGAATGACTTTAAGTAAGAGCTCATGTGTGGGAAGCGTTTAGAGCCGAGTTGGACACACAGGGTGCTCAGTGAACATGGGCTACCGCTCCTGTCTTACACTGCCATTAAAACAGTCATTGGGCACCCCTAGAAAAGACTCCCAGGGGTACAGAACACCCCTTCTCTTCCATGTTACAGAGATTCACTAATAAATATCTCCTGGGTTACTGGCTTTGTTCAAGCTGCATATTGGGAGTGACTGGCACCGGCCAGAAAGACTGGAGGATGACTGCTACAATGTCAGTTCTGGAGGGGCAGTGGGCTCCCGCGCCGGTTTGGGTCTTCAGGCAGTCCTAACACAGATCCATGGTTACAGATAACCTTCAAGGTCACTGTATCCAGTCACTCAGAGTGGCATGTGTGGTCATGATCAAAACTCCCCTGGTCCTGGAGAACTGATTCCTAGCTTGGCTCTGGGCTCAGGGACCCCACTCTACCCCAGGGCAGGGAGTTGCTCACCGCCAGAAGTGAGCCATTGCTGGGTTCAAAGAGCAGCACCGTGGCCTGGTGGGAGGGTACGGTGGAGGTAGGGCTGCGGCCCTCGTAGAAGGTGACCAGCTTGGTGGTCAGGGCGTCCTCTGCAGCACTGTAGGCAGGCATGACCCCCAGGAAGCTACAGGGAGAGAGGGAGCAGTTTCAACACCTACCCACAACTCAAGGCCCGTACATCCTCTTTCTCTTTCCTCAGCACTGGCCCACTGGCCCTCCCCCTCCCCTTTCCTCTGCCCTTCCCTTTGGCAGTGTTCATGTTCAAGAGTCCAGCTCTGCCACTTACTAACTGGGCAACCTTGGGTACGTCACTTAACCTCTCTTGAGTCTCAGTTTTCCCACCAGTAAAATGACCGCACGAACACCTACCTAGGAGGAGGGCGGGTTGAATGAAAACAGAGCAACTCCTGTAAAGCGCGCGCTTGGCACAGTGCGGAGCGCACGTTTTCGGTGGCAAGCGTGCCTTCGTTCTCCCTCTTCGTACCCGCCCTTCCTCCTTCCCAGTTTCTCCAGCCCCTGGCCCCGGCCTTCCTTACTCACCCCCTGTGCTTGGCCACCGGCACCACGGTGCGCACCGGCTGCACGACCCCTCCTTCGGGGCCGCTGGAGAAGTTGGCCAGAGCCGCCTCCAGAGGCGGGATGAGTAGGCTGGAGTTGCGGAGGTGGCTCTGAACCTCAGCCGCACTCAGGAACGCTGGCGCCGAGCTCATCTCGCCGCCTGCCTTCTAACCTCAGCACGGGCACCGCGGTCCCTGCGCCCTTTAAGAGCCGGGCTCTGTGGTGCCGCCTCTCGGCCACCGCTCCGGCGGGGCGGAGCCGGGCGGGTCTCCACCTCCCACCCCGCCCCCCAGCTGGGCGAGCTGGGCTCCCTCCGCACCAGTTCCTCAGCACTGTAATCGCGGTGGTGGACTGGGAGTTTGTGTTCTCGGGTCCACTTTCCCAGGGCCTGGGATTAGCTGTAGTCACTGCCCTTGGAGGAGCGATGGCGCCCCACCTACTCTCCACCCCCCCGATTCCGCCGTTTGCTGGGTCTGTCGTGCTGCCTGGGAAGAAGAGGGGGAGGAGATGAGGGAACCGAGGCTCCTCCCCACCCCAACCCTTGCTTTTTTTTTTTTTTTCTTAGATTATAACACCGCCGAGAGTTTCTGTTGTTGTTGATTTTGGGGAGAGAGAGAGAGAGAGAAAGGGGGTGCCTGATTTGTTGGTCCACTTATTTAACCATTCATTGTTTGATTCTTGAATGCGCCCTGACCAGGGACGGAACTGGAAACCTTCACGGTGGGGAAGATGCTCCAGCGAACTGAGCTACCCACCAGGGCTGCTGGGAGATCTTGGATGAAAGGAAGTAGTTATTAAAAGACATTTTTTTTTTTTCAATTCTGTCCCCATCTGGAGTCTCCTTTCCCCACCTGCCTTCTGCTTTCATCCCCACCCATAGGATCCCAGGCTATCCATTGCTTCAAGTGCACAGTTTTCTCTTAGGATAACTAAGTTAGCTAACCTTCACCTTTTTTTTCCCTTTCTTTTTTTTTTAATCATCCTCACCTGAGGACATTTTTCCATTTTTTGTTCAGACAGAGTGGGAGGGAGAGGGACACATCGAGTAGCTGCCACCCGCATGACCAACCAGGGCCAGGGACAAACTGCAACTGAGGTACTGCCCTTAGTGGGAAAGGAACCGGGGCTCTCTGGACCGCAGGCCAACGCTCTAACCGCGGAGCCAAACCGGCCAGGGCTAACCTTCACCTTTAAAAAGGGGGAGGTTCCGCCTGGCTGGTTTGGCTCAGTGGTTAAGTGTTGACCCATGCACCAAGAGATCCCAGTTGGATTCAAGTCAGGGCACACGCCCAAGTTGAGGGCCCAATCCCCATTGGGAGGCATGCAGGAGGTGGCCAATCGATGTTCTCTCTCATTGGTGTTTCTCTCTCTCTTCCTCTAAAATAAATAAAGAAAGAAGGAAAATGAAAATAAAATTAAAAGGGTGAAGTTTCAATGACAAGAGAAAAGACCTCAGTCACATAGAATGCCAAAATGCATGACTGTTTTGACATAGGTCTTTTCATGAAAGTCTTATACTTGAAAGAAGCAAATCAGACAGTATCTACACAGAAAGGTAACCCAGGATGCAGGGCAGAAATCAGTGATAGGAAAAGTAAATGCTTTTGATAATTCAAAGAGAAGAAAAAAAAGTACTTTGACCAGGAGGGGTTAGATAAAGGTTATGAAGGAGGGGTGATTAAACAAAGACTAAATATAAAATTAATAATGATAAGGAGAGCAGGGACAGGTTATTGATTCCACTACACCAAGTCTGCACTGTGCATTAGATACGCATCACCTCATTGAATCATGCACCCTCTGGGGTAGGTAGGTGTTGTATGAACCTTACTGTCCATTTGAGCTCCCAGAGGTGGAGGAGGGCTTTGTCCAAAGTCACCCAGCAAGGGAGCAGAGGAGTGGGGATCTGCCTTGAAGTCAGACTCCAGAACTCTACTCCAAACCATTGCATTACATTGGCAGAGGGAAGAAGAAGGTGTTTCACGCCAAGGGAAGCTTAGGGTGGAGACATGTTGTTCAGTCCTTGGCAACCATGTCTTGCCAGACAGAGTTGGGCTTGGAACTACAAGCCTAGAAGATCAGCATGCCTCTGCACCCGCACCCTGGAAGTTCCCTGCGAACCCCAGACAACCCTGAGGAGAAGGTGGACACTTGCACTTTCTTGATTGCATTTCCAGCAGCCATGCACAAGAACTCCTTTAGCTCGCATCTCAGCAGCGTTCGGCTTTGCCAGTGATCTGGATTTTGGTCATTCTAATAGGTGTGCAATAATATCTCATTGTCTTAATTTGCATTTCCCTGATGACATGTGATGTAGAGATCTTTTTATATGCTTATTTGCCATCTGTATATCTTTGGTGAGACCTGTGAAAGTATTTGCCCATTTTTTAAATTGGGTTGTTTGTTTTCTTATTGTTGAGTTTTAAGACTTATTTATATATTTTGGGTAATGATCCTTTATCAGATGTGTGTTTTACAATTATTTTCTCTTGGTCTGTGGCTTGTCTTCTCCAACTCTTAACGTTGTCTTTTCCAGAGGGGAAGTTAAAATTTTTTTTTTTCTTTATTGATTTTAGGGAGAGAAGAAGTGAGAGGGAGAGATAGAAACATCGATGAGAGAGAATGTCGTTTGGCCGCCTCCTGCCCCCCTGCACTGGGGATTGGGCCCACAACCTGGTCATGTGCCTTGACCAAGAATTGAACTGACAACCTCTTGGTGCATGGGTCGATACTCAACCACTGAGCCACACTGGCCGGACAGGAAGTTTTAATTTGAATGAAATCTAGCTTATTGGTGTTATATCTAAAAGGTCATTGCCATACCCAAGTATATTTACATTTTCTATTATGATATCTTCTAGGAGTTTTACAGTTGTACATTCTACATTTCAGTCAGGAATCCACTTTGACTCAGTTTTTGCAAAGAGTGTACATTCTGTGTCTAGGTTCATTTTTTTTTTTTTTTTTTGCATGTGGATGTCCAGTTGTTCCAGCACTATTTGTTGAAAAGACTGTCTTTACTCTATGATGCTCTTTGCTTCTTTGTCAAAGACTATATTTACGTGGGTTTGTTTCTGGTCTCTCTATTCTGTACACTTTATCTTTTTTATTTTTCCCACGAATTCACACTGTCTACATTTACTGCTGCTTTATTTGAAGTTTTGATGTAGGATAGTCTTCCCACTTTGTTCCTCTCTTCAACATCGTTTTGACTATTCTGGCTCTTTTGCCTCCATGTAAACGTTAGAATCAGTTTGTTAATATCCACAAAATAATTTGGCAGGATTTTGATGGGATTGCATTGAATCTAAAGATCAAATTGGGAAGAACTGACATCTTGACAAGATTGAGTTTACATATTCATGCCCAGGAACATGGACTATTTCTTCATTTTTTTAATTTGGGGAAATTCTCAGTCTTATTGTCTTACATCTTTCTTCTGTTCCTTTCTTCTCTTTTTGATGTTCCCATTGCACACATTACACATCTTTTGTTGTGCCACAGTAGGAGATTCTGTTTGGGTTTTATTTCAACCTTTGCTTTTTGTTTTCAAGGATGCTGATAAGAAGCCCATCAAAAGCATTCTTCATTTCTGGTATAGAATTTTAAAATCTCTAGTATTTTTCTTTTCTTCGAATGTTTATCTCTCTGTTACATTGCTCATCTGTTTTTGCATGTTGTGCAGTTTTTCTGTTAGAGCCTTAAGCATATTAATCACTGTTGTTTTAAATTTCCAGTCTAGTAATTCCAGTATTCCTGCCATGTCTAGTACTGATGCTTACTCTTGATTGTGTTTTCCCCTGTTTTGGTGTGCCTTGTCATTTTTTCTTGATAGGCAGGCATAATGTACCCACAGCTGGTTCCCAGAGTGCTTTTCAGTGCTCAAACTTACTGCCCTGAGGGAGTTTCCCTGCTGCAGGGCAGGAAAGAAGACCCTGGTGGAATCAGGAAGACTCTCCATCTCCTTTCTTTGAATATTTGTTTAACCTTCCATCCACATTTTTGCAGCTCCTTGTTTTGCATTGGCAGGAAGACTCTTCTGCCAGTGGAAGAGATGGTGAATGAATCCTTCCCATTCATAAGCTTTATAGTGTGATGGGCTGTGGGATGGTCTCACTAAGGTGCAACCAAGACTCTGGGTTTAGATGATGTTCTGAAAGATGAGAAGCCATGTGTGCTTTCTGAGGCTCATACACTGAAAGGACGGTGCTCCACAGGCCCCACAGGGCAGGTGGCAGGGCAGAGGCAGAAGACTCAGAGCAAGAGAGATAGAAAGACAGCAGGACTGGGCAGGCCAGCACACTGCCATTTGCTTCCATGTTTATCTGTTATGTGTAATGCTAGTGTGGACCTTCTTGTATGTGTAATGTAGTGCATTCCTATTGAGAGGAGAATTGGTGGCATACCTTGAAATACAGCTGATGAGTTAGAACATGCATGTGTTCAGCATTAGTAAATAACACTAGCTCTCAAAAGTGGTTGCATCAACGTGAACTCCCCTTAGCAGATGACTCGAATTTCAGCTGTTCCATATCTGTGCTAGTTGTTGATAGTGTCAATCTGTTACATTTTAGCCATTTTATTCAATAAGTTAGGAATAGATGGGAACTTTCTCAACCTGACAGAAACCATCTATGCCAAAACCACAGGTGACATCATACTTGATGGTGAAACACTGGATAGTTTTCCCCTAAGATCAGGAACAAGACCACAATGTTTGCTCCCACCACTTCTATTCAACATTGTACTGGAGACTCTAGCCAAGACAATTAGGCAAGAAAAAGAAATAAACGGTTCACAAATAAGAAAGGAAGAAGTAAAACTCTCCATTTGCAGATGACATAATAGTGTATAAAAAAACCCTAAGGAATTCACTAGAGAATTAGAGGATGCAAGAGTAATAAACAACAACCAAGTGTGTTTCTGTACACTTGCTAAGAACAATTTGGACATGAAATGTAAAATACAATTCCACTTACCATAGCATCAAAAAGAGTAAAATACTCAGGAGTAAATTTAACAAATTGCAAAACTTATCTTCTGAAAAGTGCAAAACAACATTGAAAGAAGTTAAGCATGTAAATAAATGGGGGAAAATGTCATGCTCATGGATCAGAAAACTTAATATTGTGAGGATGAAAATGCTCTGCAAATTGATGTATAGATTCAATACAAATCCAATTGGAATCCCAGTTGACTTACTTTTGTAGA